CCATGTTCACTTTCTTGTCAAAAAGTTACTGGTGCAAATTTTCTAGAGATAAGGCATTTTCCCCCAAAATTTTCCAGTTGGGTTTTTGTGCTTGTTTTTGCTTCTTAGGTTCAGTCACTTAACTTTGAAAGTCAATCAGAAATAAAATGAAAACTTTCATTTCAAATAACTTTGTAGCTATTTATGAGGAAGTATTGTAATGTGATTTGATATGTAATGCAGTATTTTTCAGGGTGCAAGGTGTTCTCACCTAGTCCCCAACCCTGCAAAGTGAAATACCCAAGCAAAACTACTGCAGAGATGAGGAAATGGGGGCTCAGAGAGGTGAAGTGACCTGCCAAAAAGTCAGTAAAGGGGAATCAGATTTTTAGGACATTTGGTTCCTAGTGCATTTCTACAGCCCCATAATAGCATTGAAAATTATATACAATCCTGAGAAATCTTTATGAGGTTAGATACATAGTTCATCACTCCCAGAAGAGAAAAATTGAGGGAGAGTTTGGCTGTCAGCTTACATGGAGGTATTTCAAAACATTGTGATTTCCTTTGATAATACACTGAAGGTACTTTCTGAGAATTATTTCCATGTATGGCCAGTGCCACTTGTGGATGAGGTACAGAGCAGCAGGTGAACAGATGCTTTGTGAAGCAACATTTCTCTGCCATACCTCCATCCTTCACTTTTGGCTCACCTGAGCTTCAGTACTGACCACAGTGCCCAGAAGAACCAAACCCTTTGATTCATCCCTGCTGTTTTGAGAGTTGCAGATCTTTTTTTTTTTTTTGTCTTTTTTCGTGACCGGCAACGGATCGCAACCCTCAGTGTTGCGCCCGGACCGGACCGGGACCGGCAACGGAATCGCAACCCTTGGTGTTAGGCCTGCACCTCGCTCAGCCAGTGAGCGGCCAGTCTGTATGTGGGATCCGAACCCTCGGCGGGAGCGTCGCCACGCTCCCAAGCGGGCCGGCCCCGAGAGTTGCAGATCTTAAGAGTACTTGTTAGCCTCCTGACATGAAAAGCCTTCATGATAGGCAAATAAAGAAAGCACAGTGAACTT